TCCACATAAATCAGCAGCAGCAACGAACTATCGTGAACGGATGCGGACCACCCGCTACCCGCGCCTTATTTACGCTGTACAAAATTTTGAATGAGTGAATCATGAAAATGCGTTATCCGGTTGCATGGTTCGATTGGGTTGTCGGATCGTACCACCACATCGGTGATGGGAAATTTGGGTCGTCGATCTCTACAGGAGCTTACGCCCAATGTGCTTGCCTTGATACAGATTTTGAACGAAGGCCGTTGAACCACGGTGGAACAAGGCATCAACAAGCGGGAAATGCTTGCCGAGATAGGGGCATCAAGATTCAACACCGCCACGCATGACGTGGCCCATCCTTTCTCCAATCACCCTCTTCCAAACCTCTTCACAACAAATCAACGAACTGCCTGCCTCAGTTCAACTACACCGGGGTTCAACGTTCAACGTTAACGTTCAACTACGCAGTACGGCCGTGACCAGCAGCTTCTCGACGGCATCTTCACTCAGAATCACGGCGACATCCCTATGGCGGCCGACAACAGCTGTACTGTACTATTACGACCAAAGGTTCAGGTGACGAGTGACGGAGGGTCGTGAACTGAACCATTTTGGTGTCGGTGACGGTGACTTTCCAATTTTGCGTCCTAAATAGGCTCAAAAACGCCAAAAATTTGGGCCCGGCATCCGCCGGGGGTCCATTTATGGGAATTTGATGTGATTGCCGAGGAATGAACATCAAGTTCGGTGAACAATTTCGGTGACGGTGACATGGCGTGAACCTTTGGTCGTAATAGTACAGTACCTCGAAGGCCGGTCTACAATCCTCTCCTGTTCCTGCCTGTACTCAGCATACACAACATCTCTGTCGATGCCCACTGTCGCCTCGCCTAACGCAAACGGAGGTTATAAAAGCTTTTTTCGTCAAAAAATATTGACATTGCGTAAGTCAGCGCACAACTCACCACTGTGCACACTTACCCGACTACATCCCACTTTTATTCGGTTCACAGCAGCGATCCCGGGGTGTAATCACGACAAGGTAATCTCGGCAGCATCGTGCGGATCAGTTAGTTCCAACCCGTTGACCTTTCTCAACATTATGGCTGAGATGCCCGATTTTGGTGAAGTGCTATGATACTTGCCATCTGATAATTCACCAGTGATTCAGCGAAAAGACACCGGATTCCCAACACGATGACAGTGTCGATTCAAGCCCACATACTGAAAAAGAGTCAGACCTATGGTAAGTAAATAAATCGGGGAGCCGATGATGTCCGCGCCATTGACTTTGATCGCATCAATTGAACCATTTGTGCACGGTCGAATCCCAGCATATTGGGCAACAGTGTGTACATTTTAACTGTGCAGGTGCACCAGGGATGTCCCCGTGCACTTGGAAATGTTCGATGTGGCCAGTAGAACGTGCATCGTGCACAGTACATTGTGAATCCGATAATGTACATTTTTACCCTGACAGGGCAAAAAATCACGCACCTGTGTACATTTTAGTGTGCCCGTGCCTTGCGTGATGTACTTAGTCAATTGTACATAATTTTTGACGATAAATACCGTCATAGGAGGTGGATCCAGCAAAGAAGAACGAGACCGCGCGCGACACTGGTGGAGCTGCAGGCGCGGTTTACTATGCGGGCTGTACTTTGCAAAGGTGCGTGTCCTGCGCAATTTCATTCCCGCCTTTCTTCCCGTGGTTTTGCGCGTTGTACCTCTGCGCGTTGGCATCATCCGCGTGTGCGTTTTCGTGGGTTCTCCAACCCTAACCCTGGTTCTCCCCCGGTCTCGTACCGTTTCAAGGTTCAACTTCGAGGCTTTTGTTCCCTTTCCTTATTGTTTTCTTCTGCCTGAATTTACACCCAGTTTCAAACCCGCTCATCCGACAGTGGGAACAGTAGAGGAAGACCCGATGGCGGTTGGCCGCACCTCCCGTCTGTAACGCGAAGTAATTGGATGTAGGAAACCCGTTCGACTCGGGGCTGGGTCATGTGTGTTGTGAGCCGATTGTTTTTTCACCTCTCTGATAAATCCACAATTAACTCTCGGCCATGGGTTGTATTTATAATCCATTCGTGGCCTTTTCTGCCTTAATTCCTCCACTCCGTCCTGCGTACGCTCACTTCGCACGTATAGGCAAGCACATTTTCGTCTCCTTCACCCATCCGGGGCTTAGGACAGTAGAGGAGGACCCCATGGCGGCTGGCCGCACCTCCCGTCTGTACATAGGCTCGCACACTTGCATGGAGGGGACCCGTTCGACTCGGGGTTGGGTCATGTCTGGATTACAGTCCTGGTTTTTTTGTCGCTTTGCGCAGGGTATTTTGCCTGTAAAGTTCACTCAGCCGTGACCCCGAAGGACAAACGAGTACGACCCAACCGCGGACGGTCCGCACCTCCATCGTTTAGTGAACAATTTGCCTACTCAAATTCCGGAGGCAACCCGTTCGATTCGGGTTCGGGTCATTAGGGTGGCGGATTGTTTTTTTTCACTGTTCTGCCTCTTCAGTGCCAGCCGCTTGCTGGACTCTGGTATTCAGTGTTCGAAACACTTGTGGACGGTCTGCCCCATCTCCGATCACCTCTCTGATGAAATCACAATTAACTCTCGGCCATGGGTTGTATTCAGAATCCATTCGTGGCCTTTTCTGCCTTAATTCCTCCACTCCGTCCTGCGTACGCTCACTTCGCACGTATAGGCAAATGTGCTCTCGTCTCGTTCACCCATCCGAGGCTTAGGACAGTAGAGGAGGAACCCATGGCGGCTGGCCGCACCTCCCGTCTGTACGTAGGCCTCGCACAGTTGCATGGAGGGGACCCGTTCGACTCGGGGTTGGGTCATGGAGATCTTGGATTGAGGTATATATTTTTTCTTCCGGTTTCCTGGCCGGTTGCGGCGTGCTTGTCCTGCCCGGCGCCACTATATTTGCTAACCAGGTTCGTCAGACAGTTCTTGCACTTCCCAGGCAGCGTTATCGGGTCAAAGCCGCCGCTTCGCTCGCCAAATGCTTTCTCTGTGAATCCTAATCAGTCGTGACCACCCAGAAGGACTAGTACGCAAGGCCCGAGTGCGGAAGGCCCGCAAGTCCATCATTTGTGAAGTGCGCCTTGTTTTCTGGAGGCAACCCGTTCGACTCGGGATCGGGTCATACAGCTGAATTTCATTCGCTTTTGAGAGATTCTGCCCCCTCTTTGCTATCAATTGCAACCACCCACTGAGTCTGGAACTCAGTGTTCGAAACGCTTGCGGACGGTCTGGCCCATCTCCGAGACTCCGATACCCGCTCACCAGACGGTTCAAGACAGTGTTGAAAGACCCGATGGCGGTTGGTCCGCATCTCCCTCGCATGGTGCAGCAACAAAGCAGCAATGCATGGAGAGAACCCGTTCGATTCGGGATTGGGTCATGCTTCTTGGTGACCTTAACTCTTTTTTCTGCTCTCGGTCGGACGACTAACGCACAGACGACCTATGGCGGATGGTCCGCAGGAACGCTAGTTCGATTGAATTGAGTCTGGGTTGAGACGTGTTTCCCTCTTTGTCAGATCCCTGGTATGTCTTCACCCTTTTTTCCCCCCTTTCAGTGGGAGGGATATAGTTACATTCCATCTTATACACACGTCCATGTCAAAGCCCACAAATGGGAGTCTCGGAGTCTGGACACCCATCTCCATCGCTCTTGGGGAAGTAACCTGTTCATGAGATATGCAGGCCGTTGTTTTTTCACCTTTCTGTCTCTGTGTCGGTCACGTCTGAATTTCATAATTTCGTCGGCGACTCACTTCATTCCAGTGTGCTGCCTAGTGCTGAACTTAATCAAAGTTATCAAACCATCTACGCAAAACGCAAAATCCAATTTCAAGATCCGATGGCGGTTGCCCGCAGCTCCAATCTGTATATATGACGCGAGAGTCCACGTCGGTACCCCGTTCGACTCGGGGTTGGGTCATACTCATACCCTGATTCCCGTTTTTGCTTCTCGCTGCAGTTGCCCTTTCGAATAATATCCTAAACTCAACCGACGTTCAGTACAAATCAATCCTGCGCCGAGCGTATATGACGCAGTTTACACGACCGGAGGACGCGAGGAGGCGCAGAAAAAGAAAATTGAGCGTAACGGCTGCATGGCCCGGTCCTGATTCGAACAGGCGATTCCACATCAAACCAACGGAATCATACGACGCACTCGCCACCGAGCCTTGCGTAGCATGATCGAGAAAAGATTGAGCGGACCTGCGGCAGGATTCGAAACTCACCCGCCGTAATGATGAATAAATAGCTAGAGAAGCTTCGAGTCAAACGTCCGTGTTGAAGCTAAAACGATTGAACACGGAGACGACTCATCCCACGTCCGCCGAAGAAAAAAAGCAGTCTTCGAGAAGCGTATGGCTCGGGCCTGACTCGAACAGGCCAGTCCCGCATACATCAAAGGGTTCTACGTACAGTGCATGACTCACGGGTGCGAACCCCTCGCTACCGAGCCTTAACGCCCATACATAGGGACGGTACATCCAGACGGAGATGTGGTCAGGTTCTCAGAAAACGAAGGGGGCAGCTGAGATACGATATGGAGAAATTGCTGGAGGCTTCGAGTCGAGCATCCGTAAGAAGGCCAGCCAGCAGAAAAATCACTGCGCACAGAGGGAGGAAAAGACAAAGGCACCTTGCCATGGCTCGGGCCTGGATCCAACAGGCGACCTCCGCATCGGAACAGTTGACTTCTTTCGACACATCCGAATATGTAGACGGACATGAAGCACCCTCCACCGAGCCATTATTTTCAGGAAGAACAGAGTGGTGGTACCCCCACGAGAAGGGCGGCGGTGACCGTGATCCTAACTCAATCATATTGAACTCCAGACCCAACCCGGAGGGTAGGTTGGAAGAGCACCTGGGGAGGCATACCATTTCGGTGGTCGTTGATCCGAGGCGTGCACAGAGATGTGGATGTGGATGAGCGAAGAGCAAAATCGAAAAAGTGAAACATTCTCCGAGTTATCCTCCCATGGCTCGGGCCTGATTTGAACAGGCGACTTCCCCCTTGAATCAATATTCCTACACACCAATGATTGACGGATGCGAACCACTCGCTACCGAGCCTTGAGTGGCATGGAAAGAGAGAGAGAGATATTATGCATCCAGGTTCCGCAAAGCTAAGGGGTAGGAATAGATTCTAGCCAAATCTCAAACCCATGTCTACATATTACAGAGTCATGGAGAAGGAATCCGGGGCGAAGATTCGATGCTGACGGAAGTTCATGAACCACTAACCGTAAATCATACCTTCAAGGTTCAGGGAGGGATAAGAAGGCGATAGCAACCTGTCATGGCTGGGGCATAAATCTAACAGGCAACTTTTGGGCAACTTGCGCACTCTGCATCGAATCAACCGGCTTGTTACGACCAATGATAGAGGGACACGAACCGTTCGCTACCACGCCAGGAGTAGCAGGGAAAGCAATGGTGACATTTCCCAGCGCGCAGAACTATCCCAGAACCCGAATGCTCGGGGAGAATTATTGGGAGAATTGGAACATGAAGGACTGCCGAGCAATGCCGAGGTGGATAGGGGCATCAACACCGCCACGGGTGACGCGTCTTCTTCCCCACCATCGTTTTACCGTCCTTTGCATTCTCCCAGTCCACCCCGTCCCGCTCGGCGCCGGCCGGACACTTTCCCACCTCTCTCGCGGCGCTCGTCGAATGAAATGGATCAACTTCTACACACAGTCGGGCGGGGCAACTTGCAACTTCAAGTTGCAAGCCGGTGCAGGTCTTAGAAAATTGGAGTCTAAGCAGCAAGATGCTTTCCTCGCGCTCCTGCGTCTTCGTACCCACCATCGTTGCATTTACACGCGCCGTGCCGCAAGCGTCGCTCTCAACGGAGGTGGAACAAGTGTAGAAGCTACTCCCCTTCATACACCAACTTGAACTTACTCTATCCTCCCTTACCTTCCTCTCTCATCAAACACTCCCGCTGTGATTACGCTCTCAAAAGTGCCGCTCGCCCCACCCTATTGCTTGACTTGGGTTCCTATAAAACACGTCACGCCCCGCCGTCGCTCCTTGTTGCCCTCATTCTTTGCTCCTTCCGTTCTTGTTCTTCTCACCGACGCACCGGATGCTACCCCGCAGGCGGCTTCGCGAAATTAGGATTCTGTGACGGGGGAACTTGAATCGGATATTATACAGGACGCAGGTAAGTATCTTCTTGAACTCTTCTCAGCGCGCCGCCTGGGCTTCGCGATTCTGCAGCCATACCAGCACACCGCTCGACCGCTTCTATGGTTTGTTACTTTCACCCCCGCTCCGTCCTAGTTTACCTCCCTGCTCCCCATCTTCCACCCAACCTTCCCTGTCCGCTATCACCTACTCTTGCTCCTTTTTGTATACCTCCAACTCGACTGAATCCCGAAGCCTTTTGCTCCCTCCTTCCCTCCTTGACTCCCGGCTTCCTCTCTTTTCTCCTCTCACCCTCCCCGTTCTAATTCTCTTTCATTCCTCCCGTCCTCGCGTTGATTCCTTGCTGATCGATTTCGCTTCCACAGGATCCATGTCCCCGGAGGCGACGACGTGGAGCTGCTCAATAGGGAGGAGAGGGAGGAGATGTTGTATGCATCTTTTCGCCGTTCGTATGAGGTTCGTGTCTGACGAGCGGATTAGATGCTTCCTCGGTGGCCCGCACTCGAATCAAGAACGTCAAATGCACACAAGGCCTTGAATCGACTTTCGTCGGTGCCTCGGAATTTCGTGCGGGCTACCTGGATGGATCTCCTTCGCTGCGTGCATTCGCTCAGCCAAGCTTCTCAAACTAGAAACCCCAATCAACCGTTCGAGTCGTTGAATCGACAACCTCCAATACGCCGCCTGGTTATTATCCTGGTTCTTGTCCAGTCCTCGCACATAGGCAAGTGGGTCTCAACTCAACATTTCAATCACACTCATCTAAAGCGTACAACACTGTATCGGAAGACCTAATGGCGGTTGGCCGCACCTTCGCTGTTTGGAATGCACATATGGCTGTCAGCTCCACGGATGGAACCCGTTCGACTCGGGGTTGGGTCATAGGGTCTAACTACACGCAATTTTTTTTCTTTTTTCTTTTTGTGGTTTAGGCTTTCGGTCCACAGTTCTGTCCTTCTGCTCCGCTCCCCACAGCCCACAAAATTCGCAATATTGCAGAACATTACCCACAAGTCAACCAACCAGGTGGAACTTATAGTGACGCGGCTGCGTCAGGCTCGATTGTTATAATCCGGCCCACGTTGCGCCCTCCACGCCTGCAATTCGGCATTGAAATTTCGCAGGTTGAGCAGGTACGCGCGTTCGATCTGGACTGCGTCATGAGAGCTCTACAGCTGCTGGCGTTCAATTACTCTAGCATCTGTGTTGGACAAACGACAAGGCAAACAATAATGACTCGATTGCAGATGGTCCGCACCTGCAGTGGACGCTTGCGCGATGACTATAAAACGTGAAGCAGGAACACCCGTTCGATTCGGGCTTGAGTCATGTTGGGAGAAGGTTCAACTCATTTTGGTACGGTATCCTGCCCCCGTCTGAATGGACCCCCCTATTGAGGGGAGAAGACAGAATTCTGAGACCCGATGGCGGTTGACCGCACCTCCAATCTGTGTGGGCTGTGCACTACGAGAACACACGGAGGCTAACCCGTTCGACTCGGGGTCGGGTTGTGGAGTGCGTCTTGCAACTTTTTCTATCCGTGTGTTGCCAGAGCTGAGAAGGTCCACTCACTGGGTAGTTTAGGATGCTTATCTCGCTGGATTGGCTGCATGGTTGCAACGAGTGATTCCACGTTCTTACTTAGAAGCAAAAAATGGGCTGCAATCAAACAATGGATCGGGCCGCGAACAGACAACTTCCGCATCCAATGCCCTGCTTCTACACGCTATGATACGTGGATGCGATCCGCTCCTACGGTGCCGTTGCCAGCATTTCTGCACACACAACTGTGAGACAGGAGGAAGGGTAATTTCCAACCCAACCCGAGATAAATTATTGCTAAACTACTCGAGTGGAATGCAGAATCGGAGCGCAACACTCGTAAGCCAATTATAGAGCGGACATGATTCATCGCGCGTTCATAGAAAAAGAACAAATTTCAACATCCTATGGCTCGGGCCTCGGTCGAACAGGCCACCTCCGCATCCAACCGCCGGGTATTTTACTTTGTACGGAGATGCGAACCAATCGCTAATGAGCCTTGATTAACACCCAGGGCAAAGGATGTATTCAAACAACTCAAAGCGAGGGGGAAAAAGTGTTCCTCAAAGTAACGAAGCATGGCTCGGGCCTGATTCGAACAGGCAAGTTCCGCTTCAACCCATTTCCCAACGACTATTAATAATGATAGACCGATGCGAACCGCTCGCTACCGAGCCTCGAGTGCCATGGATGCCGCTCGCAGGATTCAACCCAAATGACTCGGATCTGGGCTGAACTGATACATATGTACTAGTCGTGCCGAAATTCCACCCACTGAGGAGCAGCTTGGCCGAAGATCGGCAGCTTTCGTAAGGGACGCTGAATGACTGGAAAGCAAGACAAGGAGAAACAAAAACAAAAAAACGGGCCTTTTCGCTTTCGCCAATTTCAATTTGGGAATATCGAACTAGCAGCCGAATCACCCAGACCTGGATGCTCAGTTTTGAGCGCTCACATCGATATTCGGCACACGCTAATGCTTTTGTAGCCCAATTGCGGATGGCCCGCACCTCCACCGTCTGCGGGCTACCCGAGTGGCTGCACAGAGGTAACCCGTTCGATTCGGGGCTGGGTCATACTCGAGTAACTTGTGATCATCATGTTTCGTGCTTTTTTTATTGTTTTCTCTGGAATGCTGCAGGCGCAGTTGTGCTGAGAATCAGCAACCTAAGTAGAAAACGCAAGGTGAGTTACAGTTTCAAACCCGAAGGTGGTACAACTCGCCTCTGCTGTCTCCACGAAAGTCTCAAGCGTATGGAGGCGACCCGTTCGATAGCGTCGCTTGAAGCCATTTTATATCGGTTCTTGGGAAGCTTGAAGCTCGCGGCTCAAAACGAGATTACATGAATACTTAGATGACGCTCAGAAGACACACAAAACGAGGCACGTAGATACACCTTCTACACTCTCTATATATATACCACAAGATTCTCCAGCCAGATAGAAAACAGAAAACGGAAAAGAAAACACACCCCACTCACTCCTCCACAGCCTCCTCGCCCATCATCCCCGCCAGCGCATCGCTCCCCGCGTCCGGCGGCGGCTCGAACACCGCAAACGCAGCCTGTCCCTTGGCCGACGAGCGCCACCCCGTCCCGCGGTCTGCAAACACCTCGGGCGAGCGGTCGAGCAGCGCCTCGAGGTCCGCGTCGCTGAGCACGTCCGCGTCACCCGCGTGCGTCGTGGTGGGGAGGACGTCGATCTGCTCGCCCTCGAGCCGCAGGAGCTCCGCGGCCATCTCTGCCATGGTCGTGCGCTTTCCGGAGCCGGCGTCTGCAGCGGGCATCTTGAATTTGCCTGCGTATGTTGTCAGCTAGCGAGAAGTAGCCAAGCCAGGGACAAGAAGCCAAGATACACACCCTTCGCAATAACCAGCGCCTCGAGCTTGCGCTTCTCCGTCGCCCGCTGCATGATCTTCTCCTCGATCGTGTGCGCGCTCACAAGGCGGAAGATCAACACCGGCTTCGTCTGCCCGATCCTATGCGCCCGGTCCTGCGCCTGTGCGTCCATCTGCGGATTCTACAAATCACTGATCTCAGCACCACCCCAAACAAGAATGCAAGCGGCGTACCCAATCCTGGTCATAGAAAATGACCGTATCAGCAGCGGTGAGATTCACGCCCAGGCCGCCCGAGCGCGTGCTGAGAAGAAAGAGACGCGGCGCGTCGGGGGCGTCGCCCGCGTTCTGGAAGAGGTTCATCTGGTCGCGCCGCTCCAGAGGCGGGGTCGTGCCATCGATGCGGCAGATCGACCAGCCTTTCATGTCGACCGCCCAGTCCTATGGGCGTGTCAGTAAGTAACGGCACTCGCACGAGGAAGCAAAGAAGTGGTTTGTGCAGTTGATATACTCACCTCAATAATATCTAGCATCGTCG